TCTTCCAAGCTATGATACTTAAAGGTCTATTAACACTTTGATGGGACAGACATTATTTTTGTGCTTAATCTCCCATCAAAATTGTAATTGGTATTTCCTTCAGAAGGTCCAGAAACTAAAAGGGACCCGAATTGCTGCCTTATACCTAAGAAAACTCCCGGTTGATCTCTGGAATTGAAGTAAGGAGGGCTAACAGAATCTTAGAACTTCTACTTTCTGGGAAGAACAAGGGTTTTGACATGTGGTTTGTCATGGTAATGAGTCTTACATCTGTATCTTTAGGTCCTTAGATGTGGATGTATAATTATCTTTGTGATAGTTTCTACTAGGGTTTATATATGTTAGGGCTCCAGAGTAAGGGGTTTCCTAATGCCAACTCATGCTTTGGAACTCCATTTTGGAACAGAGATACTGCATCCAATTCAGAAAAAATCAAATGCACCAAAGTGGATCTAAGACAGGTGGATTAGAAGTGATTATGTTCTACCTGTTTCCCCATTCTTAGCTTGGCCAACTCGAGGGCATCCTGACCCTAGATGCACACGCAATAAATCATTTCTTTTAATCTCTTAAATAAAATAATAACCTATATAAACAGAAAACTCTGTGTTTTTCTGTTTTGGCATAATGGCAAATCAAGTGTTATGAGCCTTTTCTGACAAAGTTGCTAATAATCACAAGCTTCTCTCCAGAAACTGTGATGATGGATATCATTGATAGGCTTGAATGTGAAGGTTAGTGGGGATGCAGTAGTAAATGATCAACCTTAAGCAACCATAGGCTTAAGTGGGTGAGAAATAGACAGGGACAGGGGAGGAAGGCAGAGTGAGTGGGACTCTGAGCTAATGACTAGGACTGGCATTACAGACCTTGCTCTGACATGAAGCTGTTGTGCAAGCTCTGGCTATTTTTTTGACTTCTCTGTTATTAGGGTTGTCCATCTCTAACACGGAGATCCTAATGTTTGGCCTGTCCATTTTAGGGAGCTGCTGTGAGGACAGCCTGAAACTGTAGTTGTAAAAGCTTTGCAAAATTTTAATATATTGTAAATATGAAAAGGGTGATCATTGTTTGGGATGTACTGTATACCTGAAC